ATTTTTTGCATGGTCAAAAAGCAGAGCACACATCACGTGCATTTGCAAGCAGAAAAGTGACTGACCTCTGAGTTATCAAATTCACAATTAGAGCTATTGAAATATTGAAATATTATAGTACCGGGACATTATGTATCAGAACATGTATACTGTAAGTCACTCTGCTTACAAGATGTGGATTGAAAGCTTACTGTATATAAAAAATTATAATTACGATCCATGCATGAGAATGTACTTACCTGTTTCTGTTCTTGCAGGATGAAATTTTCTTGTGAGTAGTGAAAACTGCTGTAAGCAATAAAATGTTTCTAATGGCATCATGTACTTTTTATTGACCAGCAAAGGGTTTACATTTATTATCGGCTATGTCTCTATGTTTAACCACAACCCAGCAATTAAAAGTAGACTGAAAAGCTCTATTGTTTTTTTTTTTCTGAGACCAGACTAACATTTTGAAATAAGTTGACATTTTGAAATAAGGATATGGGCAGAGATGTCTTTTTCTTTTCAAGTTGACATGGCGTATAGGATATTTGTGTCACTGCAAAGCACAGTGAGTTTCGTGATTGGACAAGGAAAACACGAGAGAAACAAAATCTTCTACATTTATACTGTACAGTATATATGTGATAAATTAAATGATAAATATAAATTGTGTTTACAGAGGTTGAAGTGGTCAGGTTCACTCTTTTCTAAAAACAAAATTGCTATGTTAACCAAACAACATGTGAAATGTTTAACTTTTTAGATTTTAAATAATTTGTATTGTACACAATATAATATTATTTATGTCTATACTCATCACAGTTTTGTTAAAAAAAATGCCATACAAACAAAGTAAGATGGACATGCGTTTTGAATACCATCAGCTAGACTCTTACCTTTCTCTTGGTGTGGACCTGTCCTTTCTATAGAAGACATACTGTTAGCTTGAGAGAATGTAACCAGTACCAAGTTAATGTTTAACTAAATGGGAGCTGGACAAGGTCCAACTGTCAGCGTGCCCTCTTCAGCCTGAAACTTCACCTTATGATGACTGTGCTAAGCTTAAACATTTTAAGATAAGCTATCAGCTATATCCCCAT